GACAACACAATAACGACGTATTTGGTGAAAATGTTCCCCCTTGAAATAAAAATCGACGGGTCTGAGCGATTTTCAATTTTTTCACGAGTTCGCAGATTAGGGGAGTGACAAGTTTTAGCTGGGACACACTGTATTGTAGCTACCATAAGTCAGTTGTAACTTTTGTAGGATCAAATAATGATACTAATAATGTACATTCACAAAATTAGTATCATCATTTTTAAGCCACGTTTCACATAATGAAAAATATTTTTTAATACTGTCAACACTATATATCTAACGCACACTGAACACTGATTGTCTGTTCGACGAGAGAGGAGGAGCCTGCCTTCCACTGACTTATGCGTGAAAGAAAGGAAAGCCAGACAAATGTCACTGTTACGCATCAGGTAACGAAGCGGTTTACCCTCCCATAAGAAGTTATAACTTCAAAAAGCATGATATGTTTGAAACTGTTTCGTCCTTACTTAGAACAGTGATCCCCAAGTAGAATTTCTATTAGAATTTCTATAATATTTTTGTATTCAATTCAAAGCAAAGACCAGCACCTAATTTTATGTATTTTATGTATGAGCTTCCAATCTCAAGGCGGGTATTGTTATAAAATTTGAATATTTTAAACTAAAGTACCAGGTCATTACATTTTTTATAATGAAGCTTTGCTGGAAGGTAGATAATCTAAAATTAAAAATTCCTTAACTTTTCTTGGCGGTGGTTATTGAAAATATCCATTTTCAGTAGTGGTGTGAAAATGAGAAATATGGCACTTTCTAAATTCCAGTACTTATATGAATAACTTTTCACAGACCGACTACCAAATTACCTTGCAAGGTCACATGTACAAGTTTCGATAATTATGGGCCTTGCATAACGGAATGATATACTAATTACGTGCATTAGTACCCTCGAAGCAGCTATTTTAACTTTCTCCGTGAAAAAAATTCAAGTTCATCTTACGCAACTCATATCTCTAGATGATCTGGTCGATATTACCACATAATATGTTTTTTCTCGATCGGTGATGCGTTACGACTCTTTCGTCTTTGACAATAAGGAGATTTTTGTTTTTAACGACTTGCTCTACTAATGCAGGCGTAATTAGATCAAATACCAGTAGACCTTGTCTCGAAACAAGCAAGTGAAAGTCTATTTTGAAACGTCTTCCTTAATCTATTTTCAGACCGCAGAACCAAAATTGGGCATACGGTCGTGAGTTCATGCTTTCTATTGTTTCTCTGTGATGCAATTGCTATCGCAGGACATACATTTTCAAGTTTGAGGTTACTTCGGAGCACATCAGGTCGATTAAGAAAATAAAAATTATTGCGGAAAATAGTTTGTCGCAAATGGTAAAATTCACAGAGATAAAATGGAAGTGAAGTTGCATATTGCATAAAATTACCTATATTTATGATGTCAAAAAACAAATATAGGTTGGTCCTCATTTATTGATGTATGTTTCTTGATTAAAATATGTTTTTTCCGTTAACCATTTGTCGCACCCCTATGTACGACACCCTCAGAAGTCGAAACTTGTGCGAGCTGAGGACTAACGAGGTTTTACCTTTTAACGTGTGATTCCTAACACGAATACAATTGATATGAATGTAGGAAAGAACAGTGTATGAGTCTATAACTCCTGAAGCTGTGATTTATTTCCCTCCTGTTCATAGAGAAGAATATGCCTCTCCACTCACAAGAGATTTTGGAGAAACTATGTATAATATCCACTGTTAGTGGCCCATTGTGATTTGACAATGCATAGACGTTATAGCGAAAAGCTTCCAGACTGCTAGTACTTATTCATATCCAACCATTCCAGAGGTAATTCTATAGTAACTTTTTATTTGCCCCTGAATTCGAGGAATCTTATGTATTGATAGGATTTCTGTACATTTTTCTTCTTTCTATGCTTTTCGAACCTGTTGGTTTTTCGACTCTATCCAAGGTTTCTTTTTTTGTGGAGAAATCCATGCATTGTGATAATCTTAGTTGGCCAGTTGTTTATGATATCGGAAAAGACAAATCCCAGAATGGTCGTAACTTCATTATTACCGTTCTCTCCATTGAATGAAACTGTTGTTCATTTGCTTTGAAAAGCATGATATGACCATGGTTTACTTACGAACAAAATGAAAATGAAATGTGTTTAGCAAAAAATATAGTTTTAGTTATACTCAGACGGCAATAACCCAGCAGAAAGACCGTTCAGAACATTATATTACAAGAATTGAAGTAATTACATTGTTTTGGTTGGTTTCCGAGTTTTGCCGTGGTCTTCTTTGGTTACAATTTCCAAACGTTTCAACTGCAACTGTGGCAGTCATCTTCAGTGGCATCGAAGTACTCTTCTTGACGTATCAACTGAAACGTTTGAAGATTGTAACCAAAGAAAACCCCGGCAAAATCCGGAAACCAACGAAAACATTGAACGCCATCCGTGAAAGCCTACATTCCTATAATTACATAGTGGTTTCAAGAAACTGACTCACTACAGAGAAAATGCCATTGAAATTGACGGATGGAAATATGGGAAGTGAATTTTATATGAAGGAAAATGCCCTAGAGCAGTATTTCTATAAAATTAATGCATATTTCTAAATAATCATTCCGTAACTAGAAATTCACCAATCTTCAAAAATGAACGTATTTGACTTCAGGTAGACTTCACCCAGAAATTTCATCGTAATGATCCTCGTGGACAAGTTTTATGGTTTTGATGGTTATCAAACATAATCGAACATTTTTTTTAATAATAAGTTAAAGCCACATTTTCAAATTACAGGTTGTGCCATAAGAATCCTAAAGCTTTCAGTTTGATCTTCCTCTTGAAGATGATCATTTGGTGATCGAAACACGTGTCGAGGTGTTGGAATAACGGTTTGGTTGGGAAAAATACAGACAGACAGCGAAATGGAGGAGGTAGAGTCAAAAAACTGAATTCGACAATTCAATTAAGATCACCAGAATAAAAAATTTTTTACCAATTCAACCGACCTTGTAGATCTTTTCGTTTCCGAGAAAGCTATAGTGGGATCAGTTAAAAAACCGTCCTGTATATCTCTATCTATGTATGTCGATTTTTTCCAAATTTAAAGGGTTGGTGGTCAACTATCAAAGAGTTAAAATATAATAATTTTCTTTACTCGAATAAGTACTTGGACAAACGAAAAAAGTTATATTTACCAATGTAATTCCAAATAATTTTGTTATAAGAATAAGTTAGATGTATAAGGTAAATTGATACCTATTTATTTTAAAAATAAAAATAACATTACCATTGAAAAGAACACCGCCAAGAATATTATACGAACGAGTCTTCAAATTATTGCATTTGAGAAAATATGTATGAAGATTAATTTGTACCGAAATAAAATCATTCGTTCATTCAAAATATTTCAACCGTCAAATGGCTTTCTGATAGGAGCAATCGTCAGAAGTTCTACTGCAATTTGTTAGAGTTGAGAAAGTGATATTTTACATTGGATGACAAAGTGTAATAAAAGAAAAGAAACTGCGGTCATATTCTGAACATATATTTCTACAGCAACAATTCGGATTTTTAATTCACAAGAGAGCAATGTACCACAGTTATCTCAATATATTTTCGCTCTTATTAAAAAACTCCAAAAATGTAATATCGCACGTGCGAAAGTGCTAATTCAGGAAAGAAATTCCAGAATATATTTAATATGTAATACATGTTATTCACAAAGGTAATAGTCTTGACCCGGTCCTGTACATCAACTATATACTTTCGTCATTACGAGTACCTACCTACGTATACAATTGCTGCTAAATTAACTAGTGTCAAAATATTTACTACTTTTATCACCAAGCATAATTATTAATGACGAGTTTCTACTACCGAGAAACGCTTTACAGTGCACCTATTTGTTTTATTTGTTTTTTGGTAATTTACAGACACACATAAGAAGATGAAAATATTGAACGAGTCATTTTTGTGGATCAATTTTCTGGGGCTCATCAATTTTCACAATCTGAAAAATAACAATTTATGGAGAACTTACAGATACAGAAAGCACAAACTTCTCGTTCGCTTGAATAATTACAAATTTTCACAATATACCTACACTTTATTATCAATTCGCATTTCACTCAGTTGGACTATACTTTGTCCATCTAAGCATATAAGTACTCCAAAATATTATCATGTACAGTGAACGTGATCTTCCAGACAAGGCTGCTTGTACAGAGGAGCCGCCGATTTTTTTAAATATGCGGCTGGGTATACAAAATTTTTTAGGTGTAGTGTAAGGACACAAATTAGCAGTTTTTTCAGCCGTATCAGTACTTGACATTTTGAAAACGTAACGTAACTCACCACTCCGACTCTGCAGCGATATACCTGAATGAATTCCGCTAGTCGACTGTAGTTGAATCTGATTGGTCAGCTTAAGGAATCTTGCTTATTCTACCCAATAGATGCAAATGTACGTGGCGATCATGCTTTGAACACGTATCTATCATTTTTTGGGTTACTTTGTTTGTTGGATGGACAGAGTTTAGTCCAGTCCAACTAAGTTTTTTCGATTTCGAAGAAAAAATCGTTTCAGAATCACTAGTCAATATTTTACGAGCAAATTAAATTGATTGTTGATAATTTTATTTCAGCGCTGCGGAAAAACAGCGCCGAATTACGAATATCAACAATCTTTTGAAATTATGTTAATATTATCATCAATAAACAATTTTATTTGTTTTTCGCAAAAATTTAAGTCGATATTTTGATAGTTGAAAAGAAAGATACCTATATGACTAAAATTCACTATCATAAATTTCAAGCAATGTGTCAATGTTATAATTGCTCACAATTATTATACAAGCTAATAAGCCTGATGTAGTCATTATTATTGTTATTATTATGTATCGAAATCATCAATCATTATTATTATTATTATGTATCAAAATCATCAAACTTACCAATTGACAGAAATAAAGTGGTCTGAAAAAAGTGTGTAATCGAGTTATATTTGCAGCTGTTAGAGAGCGAGATAGAAAAAGAAGAAATGGGTGACGTCCCAAGATGGCATCCAGAAAGCAAATTATTCTACAAGAGGGAAGCCCCTACACCAAAAGCAGATACTCAATAAAACTAAAACCCATGACGACTAAAGCTGAGGAAAATGGTCACGAATTTTCGGGAATTGTACATAAAAAAGTTATATAAAATTTTAAATATTTTTACTAAGTGTGAAAAAATGTAAAATATTAAGATTTTGGCAAACTGGAAGATATCCACCTCCCAAGAAATTATAGAACGTAATATTATCGAAAAATAATATACAGAGTGAATCTTATACCTTATACATAATATGCATCAATCGAGCATTTCTACATGATAATGAAAATAATATTATAGGTATTGGGATAAAATATGAAAAACAAACTTATATGTGTCTTACTTCGATATCAGCCACTCTGTATATTGTTCATAAAGAGGTGATTTTCAATACCTTAGTGAAAGGCAGAGAAGTAGGAATATGCTACATAAAATAATTTCAATATTTCTATGGTTAGTTTCTATGTATTTGAAATAACTTAGATATTCGGAGTCCTCCAATTCGACCGATTATATGATCGGAAATGATTAATTTTGGTTAACAATGTGAAGGAAAGAAGTGAAGAGTTCCTTCGTAATATCTTTTTGGCAAAAAGGAGTCCGTTAATATTTTTCAAATATGAATTAAATTTTCACTTAACTTTTGAAGTGTACGTACCTATTTATTCAAGAAAAATCATAAACAATGAATAATAATTTTCATGTTTTCTTTCATTGAAGTTTTGAATTTGACATCAATGATGTCTATTCAAGAAATAGCACGAATAGTGATAACAAACATCAGAAAAAGGAATGCCATTCAACATTAACTATTGAGTTCAAAAGTAAACAGTACCATTGATAAAAATATTGTGGATATTATAGTAGTGAAACAAAACATGAAGTGTTGGTTGATTGATTATGTCAGTAACACATAGTAACTATTTCCAAACGAAACCTATCCAAATAATTTTGACAGTATTGACCGACAAGAAAAACGTAGGAACACGTTACATATTTTTATGTCCATCATTCACATTTCTGAAATGCGGCCTGAAAACGAATTACTAACGTAGGATTTGGAGGAAACTAAGTATTGACTATAAATGTCAATAGTGTTGATATTGAAAACCCATCAAGAAATCGGAATCTGACAATAGTGTCATTGAATTGAAGTCTATTTTCTGAAGGAAAAACTTCGGAACATAGTGAATGAATAACGGGATTCCCTATATTCATATGCGATTATCTGAAATATCGAGAATATATTTCTAGCATTGAGAATTGTAGACATTAAGTTATATTCGATATTATAGAGTACCTACCGTCCTTAAAAAAATTCAGTTTGCCAAAATTAATGTAGGTCAATTTATTAGTTATTATTTATTAAAAGCAATACTTTGAAAAACAAATTTTAACAATAATAAATGTGATTCACTATGAATGTGTCTTATGATTAACAAGAGAAAAGTTGAGAATAAAAACTTCCAGATCGAAAACGAACTGTAGTTTTATTAACAGAATGGAACTGACCGATACCTGATCGAACAGAAAATCCATATTGAAGCTAACTGATACTATTTTCACTATTTCACTATTTTCCTAGTAAATATCTCACACTAAACTGTATTTTAATGAGTAGTGGTTTTATTTCTAGCAACTTTTTTAAACTCTATAGCCTTGCAAAAAAGTTTAGCTTACGGTTAGCCAACTAGGTTTTCCACTAGTTGGCTTTCGATCTCGAAGCTTGGCTTTGCAACTAATCATCTTGTGGAGCCTCTTTTATCTTTGATATTCGATCATTGAGTTTTTTGTCGATCTCATAGGTGGCGTCTTCGTAAGGGTAGATGTCATCGACCTTACTAACTCAGTCTTGTCCTCTAATAACAGTTGGGGACAGCAAGGCATTTGTGGTTCAGCCTAGCACCACTGATGAGTTGTGTTTGGGCTCTGGTTTTCCACTAGTTGACAGCTGCAGTGAAAAACAGGACGAATCATTGATATTCGACGATTGACTTCTCTGTAGATCCCGTAGATGGCGTCTTCGTATGGGAAGATGTCATGGACCTTACAAACTATATGTATTTGGAATTTGTATATTATGGTAACATATTAGAAAGACACGATCATGAATTCGAATATCAAATGCCTTTAAACATTCCTACCATTACAATACCAACAAAGAAGAATTGTTCCATTCGTGGTATTCAAAAACTTGTCATTTTACTCTCCTCTCAAAAATTTTGTGAATTTTTGCAAAAAACTCATGTATATAATTCTAAACTATAAACAACAACAACAATAAATTGAATTATTCTGATTGTTATCGGTATATTTTGATGCATTCATAGGTAAATTGAAAATGAAATATTTTCAGTGAAGGAGACATTAATTTAAAAAAAAATATTTCTGATTTTCTTGGACTATCATTGAAAAAAAATGTGGAAGACTTTTAAAGATAAGAGGAAAGGAAATAACTTAAATAAAAACTCTTCAGAAAGATATACAGAAAGAAAACCACTTTCGAAATAACTACTTTCACATGAACATTAAATTACACGAAAAGACAAGTCTTTTCGAAACATCTTCTTGCATATGAACATTGGATTACACGAAAAATCACTTCTTCCCATTTTGTTTGTACTACAAAGATTCGTTATTTAATGAAAATATATATCATTCATAGAAATGCAACACATTTCAATGAATGAAAAAATTTTGATAGAAAAATGAATTTACATGTTACACCATCAAAATGGAATGCGTCGATGTTTTTCGATAAGACACTTGTCTCATCACCTCATTAGTACCGTTTCGGTTAATATTACAAGATGAAATACTCATATTTGATTTCTTTCTAAACATTATGACTTTATGTCATCGCAATCTGCTCTTGTCACGATGACAGCACTTATACATAAACATAAATACTGTTAATTTTTAGAACGACTGTGTAATTGAAAAAAATGATTTTGGCTTTCTACTTCTCCATCATTGAACAATGAATGAGGGAAACTTCCAAAGAAAAGAGGAAAAAAATAATTACAATAAAAATTCTTCATATAGATATGTAGAGCATACAGAAAAGTTTCTTTCAGATACAAACCGGAAGAAAAAAACCTTTTCGAAACATCTAACCTCACATGAATATTGAATCACACATGGAAGTTTCCCATATTTTTTGTTTAATGTTAGAGAAGCAGAAAGCCGAAATGTTTTATATTGTTTTGAGAATTTCAGATGGTGCTAAGTATTGAAAACAAAATGGAGGAATTGTTGAAAAAATTAACCACAGATTTTACATAATAGGAGACATTTCGTCCAAAACACTATTTTTCTTATTCGAACATCTAGAGAATAATCGTCTTCAATGTGAATAATGAAATAGATTATAGCTAAAAACTCACAACTTACAATGGTGAGAAAAACGACTCCACATAGACTCACAACAAAGGAAACAGGAAGATCGTAATAAAGTTTTATAAGACTCGTCTTGGTTCACTGTTCCGGATGCCAGACCTCATACTTCGTCAAAAGTAGGCAGAGTATCTATTGAGGCGCCTCAAATATTTATATATTTGATAAGTACTCCGGCTAAATGGACTTCTGTAGACACTTGACAGAGTAATAAGGGTGGTCCTACCCCTCTTGTCTTAGAGGGTTGATTGTTTAGAAGATTATACCTGTCCCATCTCAAGTGTTATGGCTTTAATCTCCTTTGGCACTCGAAATGATTGAATTATTGTACCATTTTATTATTTATTAAGATAGTATGTCTATGTGTCTGGCCACTGAAGAAGGGATAAAATAGTCGTCGAACTGTAATTTGGAGTTATTTCTTCATGAATTTCCAAAGTGATAACTTGATCTGTTTTTAAGTTAGTTTTCAAGTGAGTTAGTTTTATGTTAAGTGGCATCATGTATGTGTCAAATGTGAGTATTATTTGTATTTGTTTCAGTTTACTTCAAACATTTTCTGTAAAGTGATATCAATTAAAGATAGTACTTATGAAAAGTATTTTTTTTCAATATATTAGTTTTTTCTTTCATTGAATAATCAAAATACCTGTTCATAATTATGAAGAAAGTTATTTACATATTTGAATATTTATTAGAAATAATGTTATTTGATATAGTGAAGTGAAAGTCAAATATATCTAGAAATATTTTCCGTCATATTTTTAAACATGTATTATGATAAAGTCATTTAATATCCCAAAAAATAGATTAATCTCTGTTATAATATTCGCAAAGTACATACACTGTGGCACGGTGAATCGTTCAAGAAAGAACAAATTTTGATAGATTTTTCAAGAAATATATATTAGTAAATACTTACGGAAAGCGTTAATATATAACATAGAAATTCACAAAAATTCTAATTTTTTGCGTTTCAAAACCTCTAAATATAGAAAGAGGAAACATGAAACAATTTCTATTGCTGCAGCTCCTCCAAAACTGAAGGAAGTTGTAAATATCGCTCTTTTGACATTATTAAATTAAAAAATTTCTGTCTTTGAATGGTGAAGTGAAGTTGACATTTGTCGTCATAATTTTCATTTTCAACTGTAGCGTTCAAAGTTTCATTTCTGCAGAATCAGATCTCAGTAGGGAATATTGTATTTGAATTTGATAATACATTTTCATTGGAAAAAAGTGTAGGTGATAATTGAGCTTAAAATAATGAAACTTTTCTTGTGGTAATATGCCATTTTAGGTTTTTGATAAAGTACTTGTAGTCATTACTCATTCTATTGAAATGTTGAAATTGATGAACGCTTCGTTAAAAAAGATCAAATAGTATATATACTATTTGATCTTTTATATCTTATTATATTGTGGTGAGCAATACTTGTATTTCATATAAATATGAAATTTGAGTAGGTTGAGAAAAGAGAGATCAAAATTAAAGGACAAAAAAGTAAAACATGATTCAGCTTCAGTTGTACTCGACTTTTTTCTGCGTGGTTTTATATCACCTGTGACAGGGGGATTGAAAATATTATAACTCGAAATATTTTCTGTAGTTAGGTTTTTTAACTGAACTGAAAAATGCACAAGGTTGTTTTCATAATTGAAAATATATTGTGAATAACTTCCCAGCGTGATAAGAAATTTGCCTGTGAAACATAAACAAATTTATCGATTTGATTTTCAAACACCTTTCATACTAATGCATTTGTGAAGATATTTGGCTTTCCTGGCATGCGAAATTTGTTTAATAGCAAACAGAAACAAACAACATACCTTTAAGTGAAGCTGTTACTGTTTAGTAGCAAATTTATCTTCATTTCTTTTCTAACAGTTCCAGTTCTTGTATTCATTCAGTTTGTATAGAACATTTAAAAATATTTCTGAAAATAAAAAGTTTTGGTTTTGCACTTCTCCATCTTTATACAAAAATTAATCTCTCCTGAAGATATACCCCCTTTCAATTTATTCAAAGAAATATTTTGAATTTTTAGGTAGAAATGAATAGTTTGTTTTTGTTCTCTAACCAAATGTGCTCATTTTGGGAATAAGAGTTCAAATTTATGTTTTCATGAAAGTCACCATCATAACGTAGACATATGCTTCTGCGTCTATTTTTTTTTGTTTTTTCAGATCAAAGCAATTTCATTTCTCACCTTCATCTTAGCCAATTTCAAATATGGTTCGTCAAGGCCGCATCCTGAAAATTTTAAACACATCTTCAAAAGAGATATTTTTGCTTCCAATCCGATGTTCAACAGAGTATTTCATAGTAGAAACCTGGAACAGAGTCTAACAAGAAACTTCCTTGAAAGAAACACTTTTGCGTTCAACTTTCCCAGAAATGGTAACTACATTACTCGAATTCCTATAGAAGACAATTCTGAAGAGTACACTGACCAAAGCAAAATCGAAACATCTCAAGAAATAATGTTTCAAAGTCCAGATCAATCCACAGATGAAGATAATTCAAAAGTAGTAAACTCCTATCAAGAGAAAGATCTGGAAACCACCCCCAAACCTATCATTGTGAAAGTAAAGGAAGATGAAAGTGGAGAACATTCATCTACGGCGGTAATGATGAACCCCGTAACAAGGACATATGGTATGTTACAATTTATTACAATTATTAATAATTATGATAATAATAATAATAATGTTCTTTATTCATCACAAGAGATAAAGAATATCTTATTTGTATTTATATTAATTGAAGAAAACCTTATGATGAATGGGCGAAGTGTCAGATAAAGCTGTTTTTCAAGTAATTCCTGAATTAAAACCACTAACTTAAAAATAAAGACCGCAAGCGAAAGATATGTTTCGCTTGCGTTTACGCAGCTATTTTTATCAAGTACTTTCTTGGTTTTTCTTATTTTGTCTTCAATCGAGGACCGCCTGTCCGGTACTGACGATGCCCAATAGGCTGAAACAGCTGTATACCGGTGGCTCTTAAATTGGAATCAATATGGGAATGGTCAAAAAAGTACTAATCTATTTATCTTTATATATGTTAATGTTACCTACAGAAT